TGGGTAATTCTGGCTAGTGACGTTTACACTCTGTAAAAGGAAAGAGTTATAATCAAGGCCTCTTCGAAATTTACAGGACGTAATATTCCTTTCCAGCAGGATCAAAGGCTCCCTGGCCAGCTGAGAAACTAACTCTGATTTAAAATCTTAGATCCCTTCATCTGCAGACTCCACTTCTGACCTTAAGCAGTTCACATGACATCAGACTTCTGTAAACTGTTTCAACTCCTAGGACTCATGAGACAGTAACTATCCTTTAGTTAATGTGTCTAAAGGATTGTGATTGACTAGAGAAATATCATCAGTGTCTCACTAGAAAGTTAGAACGAAGCTGGATGCTCACAACTTTCTTCCAAATAATACAGCTATCCCAATAAGAGTTTCCAAAGGAAAAAATTCTTCATGACCATACAGCAGATCTAAAATATCTTTATGAGAAAAAGAAAAGAACAGTTCTCATGGCACCATGAGAATAAACAGGTTAAAGCTGAATATTTTACACACAAACATTACTATGTGGAGAGAGGAAAAAAAGATAAAAAAGAGACGTAAAACCAAGATACACTAAACACATAATCTACATATATAAAATGCATATCTTCCCAAGTTAAAATGTTCATATCAAATAAATATCCTTTAATTATTAGAATGTCAAAATACAACTCAAAAATGGATAACCATGAATATCCTGCCTCAACATTTTTCTTTTTTCAGTACTGGGATTGAACCCAGGATCTTGTTCATGCAAGGTAAGTGCACTACCACTGTGCTACACCCCCAGCCCCGGCCTCAACCTTTAAAAAAAGTAGAGCACTAAATGTTTCAGGACTGCTTACAGCACATTAATATTTTCTATTAAAGCAAAAGGAGAATGCATTTTCCAATCATTAAAATAAATAAATCATAACAGATTTCATCCTAAGCAATCAAAGAAGTCCTTTATTTCAAAGACTGCTATGGGAAAGTAGATGAGGTTATTATTAGATTTATTTATTTGTTTGTCTGTCTGAATGTATGTTTTGGCTTTCCCTCAAGGTTTTTTTGTACTCTTGTCAATTTTAGGATTCCGAAACTCACAGCATGTCATGAATAAACATCTCCCAGGAAGAGCACAATCTGATTAGCACATTAATTCAGGCATAAACCAGCCATGACCCTGCTGCCTCCAGGACTGTATCAGGAATAATTACGAGAAAAACTCCTACTAAAACATATTAATTAATCCCTGCTTTACTTAACGTTCTCTCACTTAAGATCTTATCTTCCCTGACAATTCTAATTGTTTAATCCTTAATTTTAGTCTAAGAACAGTCAAGTAGATGTAAACCTGAACATTCCAGTTCTGGAAATTAAGTATTTTCTCCTCACCAGAAAGCTCAGAAGATGAGGCAGAAGTTGGAGAGATGTTTATAATTCATGCTATTATTTAGAACACAACCTCCCATCCAGTATCTAACTCCTGTACCAGTTGTTTGTCTTACAGCAAAATGATGAAGTCATGTGGCCAGGAAGGTAAGGGTATCTTCACTCGAAGTCTTTTACTGTTCAAAATGGAACCCACTGGCCGTGCATGGCCACTCACTATGGAAAACATGTATATGTTTGCCAAGAAACTGGATTTTTAGGTTTGTTAATTTTATTAAGTAATTTGTTTTCTTAACGCAGGATCTTGCTATGGTACCCAGGATGGACTTGAACTCTTGAGCTCAAGTGGTCCTCCTGCCTCAGTATTCCAAGTAGCTAGGACTATAAGCATATGCTATCATACCTCACTCCTAAATTTAAATTTTAGAGCTGATACTCATTTGTGTTATTGAATAATCCTTAAGCATGTTTGGAACAACTTGGGTATCTAAATCTCTAAACACAGAACAGGTATTTCTGACAAAAATTTAGTGACTGAGTTACACTGTTCATGAGTATAAAATGTATACCTATATTTCAAATAATTAGCAGAAAAAAACAATGTAAAATACCTCACTTTTTAAATAATAACTACATGTCAAAACAATAATATTTGGGGTCTGAGCATGACAGCACAGGACTATAATCCCAGCTACTAAGGAGGCAAAGATTGGGAGGATAGTGGTTCAAGGCCAGACCAGGCAAAAAGTTAGCAAGACCCCATCTCAACAAACAAGCCTAGTGAGGGAAAACTGTAATTCCAGCTATGCAGGAGGTATAAATAGGACGCTTGTGGTCCCAGGTCAGCTCTGGGCAAAAATGTAAGACCCTATCTGAAAAATAACTAGAGCCATAAAGGGTTAGAGGTACGGCTCAAGTGGTAGAGCACCTGCCTAGCAAGTGTGAAGCCCTGAGTTCAATCCCCTTTACCATTAGAAAAAGAAAGAAAGACAAAACAGTATTTGTAAGTATTGGGTTAAACGTATTTTAAAAGTAATGCCTCTGACTTCTTTGTACTTTGTCTTGCATTCTAGTTCTGATGTTGACCATTCAAAGAGCAAATTACATAGCTTCCTTGACCAGTACTTATTCATATGTAAAATGTGCGAATAGTTTCCTAGCTAAAACAAAATATTTGTAAAATACCTAGCATATCACATGTACAAATAAACTTGAAAAGATCATTTTTCAATACAAGTTAGAGATCAGACAACTACTGAGTTAATCTCTTCTCAATGTCTACGTCTTCCTCTAAATAAGGCATATTCTGTGGATCCTTCCAGTCCATAAGACAAGGATAACTTTGCTATTGCATTTTACAGATGTATGACAGCAACCTTTATATCCAATGCTATTATCAAAATGTTCATAAAACAGATGCACTGTCTCTGTGTTTTAAAATAGCACAATCAAACCAACTTCCAGAAATACCATCATGATTTTTGAACATAAAATTCACCTAGAAGAGACATATCAGAATACTTCATGTATGCATGTCCAGTGGGACTGAGTGACTGCTCTAAACCATTAGGTTAATAATGTATAGTTATCAAAGACATAAAATACGGGGGCCAGCAATGTTTATTTTAAAATTAACTCTATCTCATTGTTAACTTCACTTCTTTGCAATTTGAAAAGCACCTGCAAATTCTTATTCTACAAAAACCATACCATAGTCATTGTAAGATTAAAAAAGGTATGCATAGAACAAATAAAATTAAATACTCCTTCATAAATTTTTGGCAAGAAAATTCACAATGGGTAATTGTGAAAAGTGAGACACTGATAACATCTTTCTGCATGATGTTAAGAAGAAAGTCCACTCCTTCCTACAAAGAATCCTTTTAAATGTGCAGTCCTGACCAGATGGCTGGAAGATCCACTTCCATGAAAACTAAGAATAGAGACCTCTTTCCATCTGCGTGGTCATTTTTCCTGGTACTCTTCCATTTTGTTCTTTTATCACTTTTCTCTTCATTCACAAGATCACTATTCACTGAGTCCACACCAGGACTGAACCTCCCTAACTTGTCACGTCATTTGAAGAAAATTATTAAGTGGGATGATAGTAAGGAGGTGTAACAGATTTTAAAAATTTCAAAAATTTGTTGGGCTGCATGTGTGCGTGTGTGTACCTGACTTGCCATCAAAATAAATTTGAAGTTGAATTACACAGCATCCAACTTCATAAAAATTAACCTGTTAGTTTCCAACAGAGTTTTCTTGAAAAAAAAAGGTTATTTTAGCTTATACTGTGTCACAGAGCTAAAATCCAAAGTTCAATTACAACTTTCCAAGTTATTATAATAAGCCTTCAATTCTGAGATTCTATATTAACACAAATTTCTCCTGATCCAGAATAAATGTTGCCACTGTAGTTCAAGAGTTTTCTCCAAGTTGTTCATAAGTTATGTAATAAGTCAGACAAATCCCTCACTAAAAAACCTCCAGTTCAAGAATTCACACTGAACGGTGAATTTCCAGGAAACAAAATAAGAATGATTGGCTAGCAGATGTTAGGAGTTTATTGGAGAAAATCTTAACTTTTTTATTTATTTGTTGGTTTTCCCATTAGACTGTAAGCAACTTGAGGGCGGGGGAGGTTTTACTCGCTGTGGACCCATTTGTAAAGCACAGGTTTCACAACAGTCTGGAATGTTCGATGGAAGAACGATGAGTAAGAGAGACCTGTATGAGTTTAGAATCTCCAATAAGATGCGGTTGGTTTTGAGGCTGTTTTTCTCAACCCACTACCTAAAATCAGGTGTTGAACTTTATATGTCCAATGGGTAAGGAATGTAGTACTTTGTGCATAAAATAGCAATTAATTAATTCAACTACAACTTATTGAAGGCTTACCATGTGGCAATCACTGCTCAAGATGCTAAGTTTAAAAAATAAGCCTGTACATGCAAAGTACGAAAGGGATAGCTGGTTACACTGAATTCATGTGAATTAATTTTAAAGTCACTAAATGATGAAGAACAAAGCAATACATTTCCTCTTTAGACTGGGTTTTCTTTCCCAATGACAGTAACAAGCCACTTCTTCAGATGCCCTAAGATTTTGCAATGTTTTACACTTTTTGCTTAGAATATGCACTCTCCCTTATACAAAGTAAGATGTCCTCAGTGGTACTGGATTTTGTTATGGGGTCAGGTAGGAAGAGGACAGAAATGAATGAGATCAGAAACAGAACAGAGAAAAAAGAAATACTGTCATGAAATAAATTAGAGCAAAGTTTTACATCGTATCATTCTCAGCCCAGACCATTAGACCATAATCAATCATTAACCTAGGGCAAGCAGCTAAGAACTACCCAGAAATGTACAAGGACATTAGACGTGTACTTTGTGAGAACTGTGTAGTCTGGCAGATTGATTCACCTCACTTTAGCAGGTGTTACCTTTGATTCTTCGAAGAATCAATCTTTTTAACCAAGACAAGTGTAAATGACATGTCAGGAAAACTTGACCATCCTTGAACCCAACAGATGTTTCTGAAGTGTACCATGGTTAATGGAAGAACTGACTAAGCCCTACTACAGCCCTTGCTGCACTAAACCCATTTCACCAGGTCACCCCAGTTCCACTTACGCCCAACATCTGGTGGAGGTAATGATACTCTGGCCCTTGGTTGTACAGCAGGAAGGTTTTCCAGAAAAGCAGAACATTCATGGACAGCCAAATGAACTAAGCCAATCAGACAAAGGGAGAGAAAAAACAAAAGTTAGAAAAGAAACATCACCTGTGGATGAAACCACAAGCATAGTTTCTGGGCACCGTCCTTCCAATACAATCTCAATTAGCAATTGCTGAAAGCATTCTCAATTAACCAGACAGCTGGAAACCAGGGAGAGGAATTTAATCTGGCCTCACCCCGCCCTTCCACCTGGGACTAATCGTTTGGATGGCAAAGAGGTCTCCTCAATGATCTACTGATAACCTCCTCAGGACAAAAGGAGGCTAAGAAATTAGTGACATCACCGTGTCCCAACCAAACAAAAGCAATGTGGGAAAAGAGTAAAGGGGACAAAACTGTCTCAAGGGTTAATTAAGAGAGAGCTGTGTTCACTTAGAGTAACCTCCTCTCCTCATCCTCCACATCCGCTCTCCCGTCAGTGTGGGGGGAAAGTTCCCATGCACCGACGGGGAGGAGGTCGTTATGGTGTCAGGTTTTCCCAGTCTACAGCTTTGATAGTTGGAAAGACTCGAATGAGAGACAAAACGTCCCCTCCAGCTTCCCACCCGCGCGCGCTCGGAGAATGAATCAAAGTGGCTGCGGGAGAGACCGACGGAACGCGGGCGAGCTCCCGCCATCCTACCAGGCAGAGGTGCTTAACCCCTTCGTTGGCCAGCCAGCTGCTCCAGGACACGGCCATGCCGCCGTGCTGCCGGCCGCGGTTCTGCGCTCGGGGCCCGGGGCCCAGCGCGCGGGACAGGGGGGTCAAAGAGCGCGCGCGGTGGGGCGGGGGCGCGCGGCCGGCGGGGACGGGGGCGCGCGGCCAGCCGGGCGGGGTCTCCGCGCCGCCGCCCCGCGCCCGGGCTCCCCTGCCGCGCGCGCCCCTTTGTCTGCACCCTGCCTGTAGCGGTGGCGGCGGCAGTGGTGGCGGTAGCGGTGGTGATGGTGGTGGCGGCGGGTTCAGGACGTCCCGGCGAGGACTCGGAGGCGTCCCCCGTCGGTCTGGAGCCCAGCCTCCCGGGCTCCGAGTACCCACGACGACTTAGAGAGCGACGGTCACAGGAAGAGTGGGATCCTCGCCACCGCCGCCTGGTGCGCGCGCACACCTGGTTCTCTTGGACTGGTGGTTTTCCCCAAAAAAGTTCAAGTGAAGGGGACTTGGTAAGGAAATTTGGGCCGGAAGTAGCCTTTTGTGTTAGCGTCTCCTTCTCCCGCCCATCCTCAGCAACTTGTCCTACCTCCAAACACACGCCCCTTCGCCCTCCACCTAAGGCCTCCCTCACCGTGGTCCCTTGATCCCTTGTCCCTCGTCCCGGCCCCACCCCAAGCTGAACAAAGAACCTGGGAAAAGGCTGGAGCAGGCCTGAATCTCAGGGGCTTTAGGGAAGCTCACAGTCACTCCATTTAGGAATTTGTGTTCTGCCACCTAGTTCCGGAGCTGATTTGGTAAAAGGAATGGGCCAGGTAAAGAAGAGTGTGGAATTGGTACAGGGCACCTATCCTATACCTCAACGCCTCTTACCAGGGAAGAGGAAAAAAGTCACGTGCATGATCAAATCCTGAAAGCTACCCCAAATCTTCAGAGTTAGGGAGCTTATGATTTATAAGTCAAGTTCTCTCCACACTGATGCTCCTGAAGTTGTCATTTCAATAGATAGAGACAGGGGACCTGGATGGCAAAATAGTTAGTTTCCTGCAAAGTGTCGAGAAAAGTGAAGCAGTAGAATTGAATCATAGAATAAGATACAATTTTTAAAGACTCAGCTACTTCTCAAAAAATAACAAAAAAGTCGAAAGACAACTCTAAATATGTACCTGCCAAGTGTAGGCATGACCTTGATGTTTAGTGTACAAAACTCAATTCTCATAACATCTCTCCAGCAAATGGATGTTAGTACGCCACTCTAAAGACAGAAAAACCAAGCTGAAAGAGATTAAGAAAGTAATGTTAGGTGACAAAACAGGGTAGTTTAGGGCTCAAACAACCCCTAATCACACACTTTTGTGAAGTCTTTTAGTAAAATAATAGAATGCTATACAGACTTTGATGGCCATATTTCAATAACCATCACTACTGTTTTGTAGCAGTGTAAAAGGACCCCAAGATCTAACCGTTGATTTGCAAAACACAAAACCACTTGAGCCATCCTCAAGGGACAGAGCTACTGTTGTATTACACAGGAACAGTCATTAATGAGGATGTGTGCAATATAATTTTCTCTAAGGCAGATTGTTTAATGCAAGAAGTTACTGTCTTTCCCAAGCAGAAAAGGCTGCCCTCAAAAATAATAAGAGAGTTTTGTAGCTCTGTAAGTATATTTCAGATATCATAATGAAATTCACTTTTTCCAAGCCTTCTCTTTCTCTCTCTCTCTCTCTCTCTCTCTCTCTCTCTCTCTCTCTCTCTCTCTCTCTCTCTCTCTCTCTCTCTCTCTTTCTCCTCTCTCTCTCTCTCTCTCTCTCTCATACACACACATACAGTTCAAATAACAAATACCTCTGCACTTGGCTGAAACCATGAAAAGCTTCCACTGTAAAAGCTATGAACATATGCTGCTTACAAACTGTTTCACAGCTAGAGATGTTCCTGACCTATCATTCACTACTACTGTGATGAACACAAACTTTTTTGTATAGGAAATGCACTGGGGAAATTCGGTACTCACTCAGCACACTTTCTTCCTACACTCTTTTCTGTCTCAGCTCAGAGCTCAGGAAGATGGCGCTCTTCTTAGCCACCTTCCCCTCCACACCCACAGGCTAACTCCGGAAGTAAGCAGTCACCAATGTGTTTGTGATTCTCTTCTCAGGGTCATTACTGCATTTTCCACATGCTAACTTAATTTTATGTACACATGTCTCTAACTCTCCTAGTAATCTAAACTTAAAGTTCAATTTTTATTACAGGACATGAAAAAACTTACACAATGTTTATTAAGTGAATGATTCATGATTAAGTACATCATCCTTCTTTCTGTAACTCAAATGTAACTTCCCAGTAATGCAAGAAAGATTTCTGCTCAGCTTGATAATCAACTACCAGAAAAGGAATAGGACAAGACCCTCTCCACATGAATGTTACCCTCCTCAGAGGTCAAGTGATACGAATTTGTGACAAGTGGACACTTGTATTAGTTTCCTAAGGCTGCAGTTACAAATGACTACAGACTTGATGATTTAAAACAAAAATTTATTCGATCACAGTTCTGAAGGCCAGAAGTCTGAATCAGTGTCTTAGATCAAGATGTTGATAGGATATTCAGCCGAGAGACTCTGTTCCTTGTGTCTTTCAGCTTCTCATAGCTAATGGCATTCCTTGACTCCTGGCTGCATCATTAATGTCTGTTAGGGTGAATATAAGGATCATCTTGTTAGCCCCATACCCCTCCCCCTCACAGGCAACTTACTGGAAACACCACACCTGGGCGTAAAGAATGATTAAAAACCCACCTATGCCATTGTCATCAGGGACGAGTCAGTTGAGAACCCACTAACCTAATCACCTCTTATCTCCCTCAGCCACCCTTAGCAACAAGCCAGTCACAAAAAAAATCTCTTGCCTTAATTGGTTTCCGAGCACTTTTCCTACTGTTCTCTTATAACTACGTCCAGTCTATAAGGGACAATGGGCTCTAGTGTCTGCTAGAGACCCCGCCACAGGTTCCTTCTGAGGGTCTCAGCCTTCTCCTGCCCTTCCCATGGCTCTTTTCAGTCTAACAGTCTCCTCCTCTTCAACCACATTGCCTTCTGAAGGTCTTCTTCCTGTGTGTGTGTGTGTCAGTCACCCTTCATCCCTCTCTACTAAAGACACATTTGTGCTTGTAATTAGGGCTCACCTGAATAGTCTCCTCATATCAAGAGCCATCATTTAATCACATCTGAAAAATCCAAAAGGATAAAGTAACATTTATGGGTCCTGGAATTTCACCTTGATTTGGGGGTTTTGGCTACTTTTGTACCAAAATTAACTTAATTGATGTAAATTTTCCTTTCTGATTGGACATGCCAGCCTTAGACTAGGACCTTTAAAGAAAGGTCCACCTTGAGGAATAAAAGTTTAGGACTTATAAATAACATCAAAAGTTGTACATCAGGTAGAGCTCAATTTCTGAACTTTTGTAACTTGACTAAGTTCTTCATTTTTGTTAACCCATATCTGATTACCAGGAGATATTAGTTTTAAAACTCAAAGAGACTGAGTTTATCACATGAACAGAAAGGGAAAACAGGAACCTCTATCCCAGTGTGCTGCATAACTGATAGAGAACCCAAGAGGTCTGAGTAACTGACAGGAGTATTAAAAAGAAAGGAGACTATACCTTGTTCCTTGGGCCCTTGGCAAGGAGGGATGGCCCACAGAGAACCAGGGAGAAGTGGCTCAAATACTCACATTTAGGAGTCTGGGGACAAGTTCCAGACAGTGACTCACTATCATTTCTATACAAAACAAGTGTCAACTATCCTCTGATTCAGTCACTAGGAATGTCTACAGAAGGCTCACATGGCCAGTGCAGCTCCTTGAGAGAGACTGGATATGGGCGATGGTCTCATGTCCTCAAGGACCAGATGATGTTGGGAAATAAGGCTTAAAAATTTGAAGGCAATTTAAGGACTCCAGAATGAAGACAGCCAATACAAGCTTGTGGACTAAAACTGAGCAATAATGAACTTTGGTTTAGAGATGCCCTACAGAAAACACTTTTCCAAACTTCTGGGCTTCATAAGAAACTTCAAAAGAAAAAATATGGTTATTATTTCACAATATATGTATACATGCAAACATCAAGTGTACATACACCTTACATATGTACAATTTTTATATATTAACATCTCAATAAAGCTGTTACTAAAAAATGGAATGATAAAGAGAAACCAACATAGACTAGGCAAAATTTTGCTGGAATTATTGTAACAACAAAAAAATACCATCCACAAATATAATTGTATGAAATATTGAAAACCTTCTACTTCCCTAGACATTTCTCTCTTTCTCTCTCTCTCTCTCTCTCTCTCTCTCTCTTTTTCACAAGACCTTTTGTTATTTCTCATTGTTTCAAATCCACATGTCTTCTATACAATGGGTGGACCATTCTTTACTTTGTTCTCATTTTGGGAACTGGGGCACATGGCATTGTGGTAGATTCCCAGAGGCCAGTGTCCCTTCTTCTCCTGCATAGGCAGTTATTGCTGACCTTAAGACTTCCACACGTTCTGAGTTCTGACACTTCATCCCTCAGGTGTGACTGTCACTGACAATCTCCCCAGTCATCCAGGAGTGCAGTTACCAGGGGGCCTTACACTGCACACAGCAGGCACTCTAGGAAGACTGCCATGTACTGCTTATGATATCATTTGTCCTTCTCCTGTCTGACATCTCCATTAACAGAATAATTCCTGGATACCTGTGGAATTTTATTGTAGTTAAAACTTTAAACAAAGTGTCCCAGGAAGCCAAAAAAGACAAATGTTCTTACAACCTGAACCCATGTGCCTAGGATGAAAACAACTTTGACCTATTGAGGAAAAACGATTGGACTTCTTCTCTAGTCTTACTTCACTTTCTGAATATATCATGAAAATATTAAGGGCAAACTACTGAAATCTGTGTTAAATGATGGGATGAGTTTTAGAGTCATAAAACATTGGCAATGAAGAGGCCTTGGATAGATATCACCATAACTTCTACTCAGTTCATGGAAAGGAAACTGAAGCTTTTTCTGTCTTTAAGATCACTAAGCCTTCTCATGC